TTCAGCTTGTACATTTGCACAAGTTTGATCATATTGTTAACAGCGAGCAACTAGATGACGCAGTACTTCATTTCACTCAGCAATTACAGATGGCAGCGTGGAACAGTACACCAACACCAAAACTCCAAACTTTACATGGTAAAAAATACCCACCCTTCATCACAAAAAAGATTACGGAGAAGCGAAAATTGCGAAAACGTTGGCAAGCAACAAGATGTCCGTTAATTAAATCGCAACTAAACCGAGCAACTAAAAAGTTACGCACATCCATCAAATCATACAAAAATAATACCTTTAATAGTTTTCTGATGGGCCTCACGGCAGACAAAAAAAATGAATACTCTTTGTGGAAAGCTGCTAAATCATTTAACAGACCAATGCAGCAGTCTGCCCCAGTAAAAATAAACGAAACTCACTGGGCTAAAACAAATTCTCAAAAGGCGAACCTGTTTGCTGAACACCTAGAGAAAACCTTCAGTCCAAATGAAGGCCAAGATGTTATTGGGACAAGTACAAATTGGCCCGAAGGCGACGCTGCAATTGTTCCAGTCACTACGGAAGAAGTGAGAAAACAAATTTTGACAATGAAACTCAAAAAATCTCCTGGTTTTGACTTAATAACGGCTGAAGTTCTTCGGAACTTACCCAATAACTGCATCATCTACCTATGCGACTTAATTAATTCGTGCCTCCGTTTGAAACATGTACCCATTTTTTGGAAATTCGCTGAGGTAATTATGATACCCAAACCAGGGAAGTCTCCCAATGATGTATCCTCATATAGGCCAATATCTCTATTGCCAACCCTATCGAAGCTTTTTGAAAAACTACTACTAGCGCGTTTATCACCAATAATCGAGAGAAGACGCTTAATTCCGGATCATCAATTCGGCTTCAGAAAAAACCATTCAACCATCGACCAAATACATGTAGTCGTAAATGCCATTGAATCGGCGATGCAAGAGAAGAAAGTGTGTTGTGCCGTGTTCTTAGATGTATCACAAGCCTTCGATAAGGTTTGGCATGAAGGATTACTCCATAAACTTAAATCATTATTGCCCATACAATACTGTAAGCTGCTATCATCGTATCTAAACGACAGGTACTTCAGTGTTAAATATGAAGATGCACATTCAGCACTAAAGAAGATTAGCGCAGGCGTCCCGCAGGGGAGCATTCTTGGGCCCATTCTATATCTTCTGTATACACACGACTTACCCTCTGCAAACCAACTAGTTACAGCAACATTTGCAGACGATACTGCGGTTCTAGCAATCGAAAACAATATAGAAGACGCGACGGCTAATCTGCAACACACAGTCAATCAAATTGCTTCATGGGCAAAAAAATGGAGAATTAAGCTCAATAAGGAAAAATCAGTACATATAGTCTTCTCATTGAGAAATTATAACCATATTCCAATTCATATCGATGCCACAAAAATTCCACACGCCAACGAAGCCAAATATCTGGGCATTACGCTTGACGCCAAGCTGGAAAGCGCATGTTAAGAAAAAACGAGAAGAGCTTGACCTAAAACTAAAGAAATTTTATCACCTCATAGGCAGGCGCTCTAAACTGGCAATCCACAACAAACTAATGGTCTACAATCAAATACTAAAGCCGGCTTGGAGTTATGGCATACAGTTCTGGGGTTGTGCCAGCAAGGAATACATTGCAACTATCCAGCGCTTTCAAAATAAAGTACTACGATGCATCGTAAATGCTCCATATTACATTAGAAACAGTGATCTCCACCGTGACCTTGACATACCAACAGTCGACGTCGTGGCAAAAAGGTGTGCCATTGCTCACAAACAGCGATTGAAAACACATGTCAACGTTACAGCATCCAGTCTTCTCCAGGTGGTTGCAGTATCTAGACGGCTAAAAAGGAAAACAGTGGCAGACTTAATGGACAGCGAGTAGTAAAATAGCTTCATTTTTTTTTTACATTAAATATTCAAATAAAATTGCTTATTAGTACCTTTTTTTTGTTATTTGTACTAGGTGCAATATTAAAACGATTTTTGTCTTTATTTGAAGAATCGTTAATAAATAAAAAAAAAAAAAAAAAAAAAAAAGTTGTCATGAAATTTTGAATGTGAATCATTCATTAACATAATTGATGTTTTTTGTAAGCAGATGAAACTGTCAATACATGACCTTACACTACAAACTATACTATACAAACTACAAATTCTATTATATATACGAAATATGTACAGAACATTTTTAGTTTAGAAGACTCTTCGTAGGTCGAAGACCCTTACATGTTAAAGATGTAACACACAGATAAGCCCAGAATGGGAGTCAAATCCTTGTTTTAAGAAAATTTTTAAAGACGCTTTGTTTGTTTTGTGCCTTGGTAGGTTGTATAAATTTTTTTTATTATTATCGTGCTCACATCTCTCTTTTTAAATTAAGTCTGAGAAGTGTTAAGTTTTAACGATTGGCTCTTATGGCAGTAAGTAACACAGTTAAACTACAAATACAGAAAGACACATTAATTTTAATACTAACTATATCTGTATAATCGTTAATTCGTGGAAGTAATTTCAATAGTTTCCGACATCCTTCAAGTATAATTACTAGAGACACTACTAGATAGGGCTGCATTTGATATTGGTTTCACTTAAATAAAATGCATTACTCTTTGGTTGAGTGGATTTAGTTTATTTTTATTTAACATTTAAACTTAAACTTAAGTAAATAATAAAACAAATAAAAAATATAATAATATTTAAATATAATTATATTTAATAAAGAAGTTGTGAAAAGTAATGAACTACACTAACAAAATTTTTTTTTATATTATTTTAATTATTTTAATTTTTGACTGACTATATTTATATTTATTTATATTTACAATAAAAGATAAATTTAAGTAAATAATAAAACAAATAAAAAATATAATAATATTTAAATATAATTATCTTTTAAGAAGAAGTTGCGAAAAGTAATGAACAAAAACAAAATTTTTATATATTTTAATATTTTATTTTTGACTGACTATTTTATATTTATTTATATTACAATAAAACATATACATAATTTTTATATTATATATACACCTATAAATCAAAATTTATTGTATAAATAATTTTTGCATACTTAATAAAAAGTGATAAACAAATTTGCTAGAATTTATTTTAATACATAAAGAAAGATTAACATATATGAATTTTTAGCTTTTATTATTTTTATTATCTTCTAGAGAAATATAAAATATATCATGGAAAAATTATTTGCTCAGATTTAACCAATAAAGTCTTTATGAATTTTCATCGCACTAAATTAAATGAATGCTATAAATTGCTCCTGATATGGGTCCAACAGTTAAGCACTTAAACCAAAAGTCATAAACCCTTACCGAATTTTTTCGAAAAATAAATGTTTTGCTCTCCATTATTCCCCAAGTAAGATAGCATTTTAACTAGAAAAAATTTTACGAAAACTTTTTAAGAAAGAAAATAACCAAAAATAGTGAAATCCTTACAACATAACCTAGGTCCTTTTAAAAGTCCTTGACCGCAAAATGCTTAAAAAATATATGTATGTGTTTTGTAATATATGTATTTGTTGTAATAAAAAAAAATAAAATTTTTTTAACATAGAGAAAAGTGAAAAGCAAGTAAAATAATAGAAAATAAAATCACTTTTAAAAGGTAAAACACGATAAAAGGAAATCGGTTAAGCCATTTTTCGTGTCCGTACCAGAGCCACTTTTCAGTTAATTTTTTTTTTCTTTTGTGTTTTTGGTAGTGTATGAAAGACCTGTAACGACCTGACCTTTTATTCGCTTTTATGCCGACATTGTTTTACTTTTAACTTGCCTAACTAAACGTTGAAGTTGTGCCTTTTAAATGAAATACGTTCGTAGAATTTAATTTAGCGTCCAAATTTTCACAACCATTTTCATAATAAACATCATGTTCAGGGTGTGCTCATTTAGCATCTACGAGCGTCAACGAGCTTCAAGGCACCAACCAATGTAAACGCTCTCATATAAAAATTCCTTCCTCTTCCAGTCAAATGCATCAGCTCGGTTGGTGGTGGTCAATCCAATTTGCCAGCGATGTTTTGTTAAGAGGAAACAACCATTTGGCAAAATAAAAAATTTATAAGAAAAATAAGACATGATAAAATTGTGGTATGAAAGTGGAATTATAATAAAAATAAAAATGGAAATAAAAATAAAATAAAAAAAATAAAGCTTTAAATTTTCTAAACCATAAATTTAACTTCAATTATCTCGCCAACTGAAGCGGAAAGGCAAAAAATGAAGTGAGCTTGTACCAGAACAGCAGAAAAAAAGTGAAATAAAATAGAGAAATAAAAAGATATTCCAGAATTTGAAAATAAGCTATGGTTGCGTCCCTATGCTCTACGAACATCATCTACTTATCTAGTAGATGCCGTACAGACACACCAAGTCGCCAAGGCGATACAAATTGATATGAAAGCATTTGACATTTAATTTTTTAAATATATTTTGGCTGTCAAAATGTGTGAAAAAAAAAAAAATTTTAATAAAAAATTATTAGTTGCTTATTTATTTTGTAATCATATTTTGCATTAATTTTTATTCTGCATATTTTATAAATTCAACCAAATAATTTCTAAGTTAAAAACTTCAAACTCCAAAGTAACTCAAGAAGTCACCACAAAATATTCACAAAATTCTTAATGCCAAAGACTTCTCATATTTTAAGTTACACATAAAGGAAGACCAGAAATAATCAAATAAGATTAACTTAAAATAAGACTTGTGATAAACCCGAAAAAGTTTGGATTTTCTTTGCCAATTTGGTGTAGCTACAAGTGCTTTACATAACTTTGTTCCAAGTAAGTTTGGACACATTTTTCATTTTTGAGAATTTATTCCGAAACCAAGAAACCAAGCCGTCGCTTTCCAAAGCGACTTTTTCATTGTTGACGTTTGAGATATTTTTCGCGCACAATATTTATGTGAAAATTCAATAAATCGAAACAAATTGAAGTATTTACTGAAGTTGTTCATTTTTAGTTCATGTTCGTCCCGTCCGCCTACACTTAAACCCTCCTAAGTCTGCAACTCTATAGTGATTTTAATTTGATGAGCTTAAGTGGGCGTCTTACTTGTGTTTGGCAGTATTTATGCCAAGCTCCTTTTTCCTCCTCGAGGCCATTTCAATTCCGCGTTGTCACGCCGTAAAGTTTTGCTCTGATTGGCACCAGAGATGAGTAGGTTTAAATTTTTTCATTATCTCTCATAGTCACTATCATAAAATCAGAAAATATATTGCCGCATTGCACTTAAACTTAAGATGTTGCTGGATTTTATATACTTCACTGGGTTTATTGAGTGTCATGGCAATGGCGACGTTTTTGCAGTGTAATTTAAAGTTTATATTTATTCGCATTTTATCTGATTTAACAGTGATTATAAAGTTTTTTATATCCAACACAGATTTTTTTGTTAAATTTTAAATTGTAACTGATGTTTAGAAAAATTTTTCATTTACTTGTATTATGTATAATTAAAAGTTTTTAATTGCTTATTAAAACTTTTCACAGACTTTTTTATATCAAACGTTTTATTTTCAAAAGAAATTTTAAAGAAATTTTAAAGAAATTGCAATATTGTAAGAAATTTCTTTGACGGCTACAGCGCAAGTAATTGTGGTCAAATATTATAATTTCTGTACTTACTTCAGTAGATTAAATGAGAAAGTACTTTACTCACTGGTCATCTCGTGCGAAAGAAAGAAAATGATTCAACAAAAAAGGTGTTTGAATGCAGAAAACGCAATGCTGGACAACTGCATCTTTAGGGGACGGACTACATGACCAACGATTTGGGTTCTCTCGGTACTAACAACTGCCCACAGCAAGCCACTGATCGAACTGGTTGGCGAAGTATCTAGCGCTCTAACTTGAAAGGTGTTTGAATGTAAAAACCGCAATGGTGGACGACCGCATCTTCGATGAAAGGACCCAGTGACCAACGATTTGGGGGTGTTCTGTACTATGAACTGGCGATAACAAAACACTGATCTAGCTGGTTGTCGGTGAAAAATCGACGCTGCTAAGAACGACTGACATTTGTAATGGCCATCTAACTAAATAAGTAGGTAAGTTCATTTCTATTTAATTTTTGAACAAGTGTAATTCTTGATGCAACTGCATCCGATACAATCGGTATTTTACGGAAACTCCCTAATATTAGATTTCATACTTTTTGTAAGGAATTATACCCCATGGCCTTATGTACTAAAGAAACATCAATCTGCACTTAAATAACATTGTCCAAACGACAATCTGCACTTTATTATCATTGTCCAAACGACAATCTGCACTTATTTTACATTGTCCAAATGTCAATTTGTCCAATTGACAATGTCCAATCTCCAAATTGACATGGTTTTTCTTTTAAGCTTTGTTTGTCATTTAATTTTACTTGCTTTGAGAATAGTATTTTATTTATCACACTGCAACCAATTTAGATCTATTAAAAAACTTCACAAAATTTCTTTATTCAAGATCCCAGAGTTTATGTGTTCCATAAAGCCCGTATCTAAAGTATTAGACTCGGTTTGTATACCTTGCTTAGACTATAAAAAATTGTGTAAAAATTACATAAAGTATCACTTTTTAAATAAACTGCTATTCACTAATTGTTTGATTCCATGCTCTTTCCATATATTATTCTTTATTCTTTTTTCGAAGAACTCAGCTATTATAAAAGTAGAATATTTAAAACAGAACTCGTTTTCTATTCTTGGTCAAGCCAAAGCTCCCTTCTCATAGTTTTCTTCTGAGATTATCGAATAGAAAGTTTTAACTTGACAGACCTAAAGAATACATAAAGTCATATAGCAAACTGAGGTGGAATTCATATACTTTGTTTAACACTGCTATTGACTTATAGGAAGAAATATAATTTAGTATTTTAACTCTATTATATTTGTGAAGGTATATAGTAAAGCGGAGATTTGTGACAAAAAATGTTAACATGCAGACTCCTCTCTTTATTACTTTTAACGAATGAGCAGTAAGAGTTCTTGTATTTATATTGTCTATAGCAGGCAGCACAGTAGCCTAAAAAATAGACAGATCAGTAGTACCAGAAAGATCTTCTGTGTTTACACTAAAGGTGCTCGAAAACTGAAAATGGTGAAAATGAGTTTGTCTTTAAATAAAAATTCAAATAAATCTTTCTTAATAACAATAATGATCCATTTGTTAAAGAATACATCTTCTTAATAAAAAAGCATTTCCAACTTCTTTACCTGGAAAGAAATAAACAACAAATAGGAGCTAGTAGTTAGCAAACTATTGTGACAACTTCAAATATCTGATTAAAAATACTTGTTATACTTTTCAAACTCATTGGCTTTTCTAAAATTTAAACATAAATATCAAAGGTTTTCGAATTCTACTAGATAAATTTGAAAAAATAAAAAATTCAATTTTAATTATTTGATAATAGTTGTGTTTACGATCTTAAGCTAATTGCTTACAAACCTCTTAATAAATATAATCCAAATAAAAATCCATATTAAAATGAGTTTCTGCTGTGCTATTTGTATAGATGATATAGAGGATGCGGCAACATTGCCTTGCCAGCATGAATTCTGCAAATCGTGCATTACCAAACACATTGATATGTTAAAACAACAACATCGTCCAGCATTTTGTCCACTTTGTAGAGGATATTTTCAATCCACTGCGGTAAGATATATATGAGTTCAAACATTTCTAAAACTGCATTCTAAACTGCATTCTTTTAATTTCAGGATGGTTTCGTAGCTTTAAAAAATGTTCAGTCTTATGAAGAACAAATTGCTGAAGAATATTTCTTCGATGACGGGGAAATTACGCCCGATGATGAGGAATTTATTGAAAGCGAAGATGATTATGTTAGTGGAGGCGAAAGTGAACAAAGTTATATATTTTCGAACGATGAGTTTCTTGATGAAGAAGCTGAGTTTAGTCCTGTCGAGGATATATTTGACAATGAACAATAAATATTAACGACAAACAAGGGTATGAGAAATCGTAATCACATATTTTTTAATCTTGCCCAATACCTATTACTTTAAAATTCATCGGAATATTTGTTTTATAGTAGTTATTTATACCATTTCTATTTTAGAGTAGTTAAAATAGTAGTTATAAGTAATTTTTTTTTATCATATAGCTAATTGGTTCATTTAACATTTGGTAATTGTATGTCTTTACTTATATTTGTTTTCTAGGAAGCTACACATTTTTCTCTGCTATAATTACAGAAAATAATTATAGCAGAGTAATTATATTACTTAGTTTATTTAAAAATTTATATATAGACATATTTGAATTGAGCACTGACTGCTTGAGTGCGAGAAACTATGTAAGGACTAGCTTCGTAGTTAATGTAGTGTTGTGCTGTTTACATTGAGATAACAAACGATAGTTTCTTAAAATTTTTTTATATTTTTTTTTTAATTTATTTCTACTTCGAACATGTTTTTTAAAAAAAAAACAGCATTTTTTGCTAGAAAGAGGTTCCTTTTTCACTAGAAAGAGGTTTCTTTTTCACTAGAAAGAGGTTCCTTTTTCACTAGAAAGAGGTTCCTTTTTCACTAGAAAAAGGTGCCTTTTATGTTAGAAAGAGGTGCCTTTTTTGCTAGAAAGAGTTACCGTTTTTGCTAGAAAGAGGTGCCTTTTTTATTAGAAAGTGATGTCTTTTTTATTAGAAAGAGGTGTCTTTTTTATTAGAAAGAGGTGTCTTTTTTGCTAGAAAGAGGTGTCTTTTTTGCCAGAAAGAGGTGTCTTTTTTGCTAGAAAGAGCTGCCATTTTTGCTAGAAAGAGGTGCTAGAAATTTTGCTAGAAAGACGATCCATTTTTGCTAGTTTTTGCTAGAAAGACGTGTCTTTTTATTAGAAAGAGGTGCTTCTTTTGTTAGTAAGAGATGTCTCTTTTTCTAGAAAGAGATGTCTCTTTTGCTAGAAAGAGGTTCCTTTTTTGCTAGAAAGAGCTTCATTTTTGCTAGAAAGAGGTGCTTCTTTTGTTAGAAAGATATGTCTCTTTTACTAGAAAGAGGTGCCTTTTTGCTACAAAGAGATGCGTTTTTACTAGAGAGAGGTGTTTTTTTTTGTTAGATAGAGGTGCGTTTTTTACTAGAAAAATATTTTCTTTTTACATATTAAATGTGTCTATTCTATTCTAAATGATATAACTTATCGTTAGTAAGTAGTTTTTTATTAAATTTTTAATTGTTTCTATTATTATATTGTTTATATTGTTTTTTATATAATGTATTGTTTATATTTTATTAAAAAAATTAAGCGGTATTTGTTACTTATGATATTGCTATAATAGATATGAAATATTAATATAATTTTTTTCTTTCTTTTCTATTTACAGGCGGGTAGTGGGCTCATCAACAACAATTATTTTTTTTAATTTTATTTTTGTTCATATTCATATTTTTTTACACTGGCTTCGTACTTAATGTTTATAAGTTTTTGTTGGGTTTATTTTTATATTCAAAAATTTACTTAATAATTTATACCCAAATTCATGGACTAGGCCTAATGGGGAAACCATGTAAAAAAAAACGCACCCTTCATTCTACCTCAAGTGTGGTGTGGAAATGAATGTCGTGAAGGCTTCTTATTATGATGGTGGAAATATTTGCTTGGAGAATACTCAGTTTCAATTTTTTGAAACTAAACATCAACTTTCTACAATAACTCAGCTTAATGAGGAAAACACTGGTAACTGCTTAAAAAATTATTTTATCAAAAACGAAAAATTTGAAAAATATGATGTATCAATTTTTAGTTTCAAAACATCAACTTCCTGCAATGCCTCAGCTGGCAAAATGTTTGCTTGGTGAACACTCAATAAGGGAAAGACCTATAGTTACTATGAAAATGATTCCAGCAATAATGAAAAATTACAAAAAGTTGTGTTTAAAATTTTAGAATCCCCATATGCCTTCCTGCACTACCTAAGCTAGCGAACGAAAGTTTTGCTTGGTGAACGCTCAGTGAGGGAAACACTGATAGTTACTTGGATAATGATTCTGTCAAAAATGAAATATATCAAAAAAATTTTTTAGAATCTAAACATCATATATATGCAATATCTATTGTCCGCAAAATTATTATTTCACTTCTGCAACTCCACTGCCAATATCCTGCGTCGTCCGTCTTCTAAACCATAATTTGTTACAAATTGTTATGCGCTGGATGCAAATGAAGTGCGATATAATAAAAACCACCAAATAAACTCAAAAACATTATTTAGAAGACTGGAGAAGAAAATAAAAAGTGATTTCTTATATATTTTGTTTTGGCCCAAATAGGGCCAATAAATTTAACTACACCATTAGCAGGAAGCCGGCGTCAACAGGGCGAGCAACGCTAAACGCCGGAGTAAATTTAATGCGTTCAACTGTGGTAAACACTTTTTGTCGCTTTCACCGCATTTGCTGTTATTGTTGTTGTTGTTGTTGTTGTTTTGCTTCGATTTATTACGAATTTAAGTAAGTGAATTTGCTGTTTACTAAAGAGTAAGTAAGGACTGAGCTTTAAAGTGCAGGAGACTCTGGCAAGGAACCATTGAATTTTTATGTGCGTTAGGCTAAAGAGCAGCACTTTCACTTTCACGCTGGCACACTTTTGCGCTGTTGTTATCCTGAAATAACAAATAATGCTAGTCTCAGTTCAAGGCGTCCACCGACGAATCCAACTTTTCCGCCTGGTTTGTTTATGAAAATTTACTTTTGTGGTAGAAGTGTGCAATTTGCCGGAAATATTTTATTTTACGTAGAATGCATAAAATTTTAAGGTGTTCATAAATCTACTTAGTTTACTGAAAAAGTGTTGAAATTTTGCCAAAAGGTGTTTCTACATATTAGGAACTTTGCTATTTAAGATATTTTCATTTAACTTTTGTAATAAAAATTGAGGAAACTAAAGCTACATAAGAATTTTTAAATAAATTTTAAGAATATACAGCTGTTAGAAATTAATAATATGAAAATGTTTATTAAAACAGTGATAAAAAGCTCTTTCTAACTTTCATCTCAAAATCAAATCAAAAATACAAGAACTATAGACAGTTCAATTTGTCACATCCAGATATATATTCTTTATAAAAGAATATATTTTATTTTTAAAATAAAAATTTGAGAAATGTCAACAAAAGTCATCTTGTCAAACTTTGTCTATAAGTGCTACCAGATCCATTTCAGTGGGATTTAGTACATCACATCAGTTATTTTTGCAGTTATACTTTTGACTGTTATGCGTTTGCAACAAACAAACTCAATATTTTGGGAAAAACTCAACGAATGTGATCATTTAAGCACATTACTCAACTGTCATAACTTAGTGGAACTTCCATTCTTTGATTAAACTGAATTAAATATTTCAAGGAAGACTTTTAAAGTTCATTGTAATTCAATAAGAAGGTTCACGGAAAGAGTTAAAAGCCTTAATTCCATTCATGTATGAAAAATATATGAAAGATTTGGACTAGCGCTAGGATTTTGATATTTCACGTAACGATTTCTGTATAAGGATAACAAATAAATTTTAATGATTGATAGTTTTAATAATCTTAACTAAATAATAATTTTTGTTTTTATTATTTCGACTACTTTTTATACAGGGTAGATTTTAACAACTAAATTAAGGACGTATGCGAGTTAGGCTAAGTTGCATTCTAAATGAGGGAAAGTCTAAGTTATGTCGATAATGTAGTGATGTGTCGATACGTGTTGATAAATGGCTAAATCTGTGCAGTGCAAAAAATCCCAAAAAATCTCTTATTTGGTTTAGCATCAACTTAACCTAACTCGCACACGTCCTAAATAACTTTGTACTAAGTTACACGAAATCTTTGATATAAAAAAAAAGAAAGATGTAATATTAAGTTATCAATCATAATAAATTTGATTAGTTGTGATAAGTTTGTCTATTAACATAATCAACCTTTTTAAAAACAATCGGTTATCGGTAATCGGTTGAAACAAGCATAATTCGCTAATCCTTGTTTGATTGTGTATATCTTTTCGTAAGGTCTAAAAAGCAATGGATGTCGATATGAACAAACTTACTTGAAGTCGACTGCATTTTTACAAACCATTTTTAACTTAAAGATACTGTACATCTTCGAGAATATATATATAGTTATTTAGACTGTTACTAACAGTTAAATATATAATAGACGTTATATGACTAGATATTAAACTTTCATCAACTGCTTTATTTTTAGAATTTTAAAGTATTTAAAAACTCAAGTCATTTTGAAAGTTGTTTTTAAATTAATGAAATTGAATTTTTATTTCTGTAATATAATACCTAAAGTATCTTACAAAGAAAAGTAGCTTGCAGTTGATTTTCTTTATCAAAGCGGATTAAAGTAGAATAAAAATTTTCCACTTTTTATGACAATAGAGAATTTATATTTCTTTCTTGCCTCAGGTAGACACTTACCCTATTCTTATTGAAACGGAAAATTATTTTTCTCTTATTACAATCATTTTCATATCCTCGTTTCATGGCTTGCTAAGTAAGTTAATACTCGCCCTATTAATCAATGAAATATTTATAATGGAACAGCACTTTTCTTGGTTTTGACTTGAAATTCGAAATAGGATATCCACATTTATATAATTTGATAGATAATACTCAACGGCCTTCATGATAGTATTCGTTGAGTTCATTTCAGTTGAAAAACTGAAATTCAAATCCTTTTTACATGTTTAACTTTAATTAAGTATTGAAATGGCAACTTAACCATCAGTTTCCATTTTCTACTGTCAAATCCGACAAAATCTTCTGTTCTCATGTCAGTTGTCCATATCAGAATGTCGAATGTAAATGTACTTAGTTTTGCTCATTAGTAACTAATTAGTATTAATATCATGCAATATATGCAATGGATTTGTATATCAGACCAAGTAAGGAAATTTTCTCAACAAATTTGATGAATTTAAATGATTTCCTGATTATTCCTTCAATTGAATTTTGTACTTTAAGGCGATTGTGTAAACTAATTAAATGAGGTTGAGGTTGATTTGTAGTATGATTTCACAAATATTTATAAGTATTTCTAATAAACTTAAAGGCTATTTATCTACCTTAGTCTAAAACAATTAACTTAATCACTCTTAATTTGAGGCAGAATTTAAGCCATTATCTGTGTTTCGAATATACAAACTGTGTATGCATTAAAAAGTTATATATAATTGTTTCTAAATATATAAAGTGAAGGATTTAGTGAATTATTTAAATAAGTTAATTACTTACTTTCTTTACAGATATTGAAAGTACTCCTAAATTTTAAAGCAATTAAGTTGAAACTAAATCATCAATTATTGCAGCAAATTAAGAAGAGTAAGTTATTATCCTTTGGGATGTTGCAGTTATTTAGTTTGCTTATATTTACAACTTTACAACTTAAATTATTTACAATTTATTTAATGCAACAGTATATTAAATAAATTTCTGAGTTTTACCGCAATAAAATTATGACGAAAGTTCTTAGTTTATGTATAAAGAAACCCAATTAGCATTATACCATCCAATAATAGGTTTATAAAGCTGACAATTTGGATTAACCATTTCTTTTATTAATATAATCAAATATTTGAAATAATAGTAAGGACTACATTACTAAATTATATATTATATAGTTTTTAAGTTTATTTAATACTTTCAATGAATGAATTCTATCAACAAAGCACATATATTATAGAATCACTGTGGAAAACGTAGGCTTCAGTCTTAACATATGATGTCTACCTGATGGATAAAATTAAACTTTGCTTAGATTCTCAAAGAAAAATAATTTTTCATCGATTAATATATGGCAGTAAATATAGGTATGTTGTATATATGTAGGTACATAACAAATTTATAAGAGAAAATATTTATATTCAACTGTACTTTGCTCTTATTCCATTCTCTTTAATATGTCAAAAGTAAAACAGAACTATAAATCGCCATCTATTAACAATAGCAGACAGCTTTATGTTAGAACCTTCACTGATATATTATCAAGCTTCCATATTTCTAGAAATAGACGTAATGTTTTTACATTTGTAGTGTTAGTGTTGTGTACTGATACAAAAATGAGCATCGAACAAAAGTCAACATAAGTGTTGATCGAAAATTGATGAAAACTTCACCAAATCAAGTTAACTGTGTCAACTGTGATCACTATTTGTTTTTCGACAGTACGTTTGGGTGGTATATGTGACTAAACTATATTCAAAAGTAGCAAAAAAAATTATAACAAAAATATTGGTCCACCGAAATCAATGTTCGAGAAACAGATTGCCACAAAAATAGGTGGAAGCGACTGGAAAAAAAAAATAATCTTAAGAAAAGTCTGAAAAGAGTACTATGTTGACTTTCTTTTCGAATTAAACTAAGTTATGTAGAACGAATTTATTTTATTAAGCCAAGGTATACTTA